ACTGTTTTTATAATATTTTTTAAATATTAAGTGCTGTTGTTATATTAAATATTACAATATTGCATTGTTTTACCAGGCAATAATCTATAATATTAAAACGAAACAGTGTTTTTTTATTTCACGATTCTGAATCAACCACTCGACGGATTTTCGTGATTTTTGTGTTGAAAGAAAGATAATTTTGAGAACTAGGGAATGTCGAAGCCATAATTTTAGTTTAGGGCCCCAGTTTTTTAGAAATAAAGTTTTAATTTTGAAAAAGTCTAGCAGCCGACGCTAACATTCTAAACTAGCTTTTGGCATAAAATAATTTGCTTAACATAACAGCTGTAAACATTCAGCTTTTGTTTCACAAATTCAGCATTTGGATAAAAATGTAAAGACATACTTAGGGTTGACTTATTTATACTATGTGTAATGCAAATCATTGATACGTTCAATTCTTCTGTAAGAGGATGACAGATTAATTAAATGATACATAGTAAAATACCAGGATGTTCAAATTATTTTTTAAAGCAATCTTTGTAATCTTCGATTTGTTTTAGAGCAATATAATTTGTTTTAACTAACAGCTGGTTAAATATAAACTATGGAACTATGAGGTAATTTTATTTACTCTTATTTTGTCATTGATTATAGGAAATAAGTAAGATTAGTAGAGATAATTAGACCACAGTTTAAAATAGTTTAGACCAAAATTAATTAAACCACAGTACAAATCGAGGCTCTGTACACGAGTCTTAATAAAAAAAGGGTAAATGCAAATTATTTTACTATTACACTTTTCGAGGAAAGAATAAAAAAATAATAATGTTTACATGTTTTAATTCTTCATGGTAGCCTTTTGTTTACAATTAATGTTTGTCTGCTTTAACTTTGTTTGGATTAGGCCCGGAAATATTGATGTCATAAAAAGAAGATCAAGAATAATCAGGAATCACGATTTTAAATTACCACTACAACCTCAGCCGAGTTTTATAAAAAAGATTGAACACAACGTCAACATTGACCTAGGATACTGCAATTAGACAAACCATCCTTTTATGAAATCGTGTTCAGTGTGGTTACGTTTGGGGTGCCTATCAGCGCCCCCAAACGTGAAAATATCACTTTTATTTCAACTATGAATATATTGTAGTTTAAATGAACTAATATTGGAAATTACGATGTACATATTTATTCAATGATGGTGGGTAATTATCAAGGATAGAACTGATAACGGTATGGATAATAAACATTGACAATTACGTTATTAGCTTTACTAGCGTGTTTACTTTTTATATTCCTGCTACATGTGACCAGTTTTTTTTTCAAATGAATGTTATTTGAACGAAACAGCTGTTTCAAAACAAACTGTTATTTTTTTTTACTTTTGATTGTTTACACTTATATATTTAGCAATATAATGCAGTGAAATTGATATAAAGGATAGGTGTGACGATTTATGTGTACTGTGAATTTTATTGGATATTATCGTTTTATTTTAGGTAGTTTTTATTCAGACCAACTGGAAATTGTGTATAGTAGTTGTATTGTGGTGATAATAATTATGGAAGAGGCAGGTATGCTATGGAAGGTGGTATCGTTGACTAAGTCTATACACTTCTCAATTGACTATTACTCTCTCTACTGTAGGCTACTTATAATCAGTGTGCGCTGTGGGAATCGGCTGCAAATCTCACTTCAACGCTTTTTACATCGCAAAAATTTCAGTATTGCTGTTTTATTGTAAAATTATCGGATTTTAAATGCATATCATATAGGCCTAGGTTGGAATAAAAACATATTTGGTCACACAACTGCAAGAAACTTTGTCTTTATATGTGTAAACTAGCCGATCTGAATTGTACACGGTTTTAACTGACTACTGAATTCCCGTACGTAGGACGGGCTAACACCTCGTAATTTATAAAATTGTATTTGTAATTCTCTTTAACTGAAACTACTGTTAAGCAACACGTTTGTTAAGATAAAATCCTAAATCAGTTAACAGCTACAAGCCAAATATTCATTCACCAAGGGACCTCGCAGCAACTCAGTACAGTATTCATATATGCCAACTCAACATATGATCACGAGGCAGAACCACCAGTGGTGTTAGGCCCTTTCTTTGCTGTGAAACTAATTAGGACATTATGCAAAAGGATAACAAAATAGACAAATAAACAAACACATTTTTAAACAATCTGAATCTAAATATTTACAAAACTTATTATGACTATAATTGACATTAAGATTAAAAATAAAGTATTTTCTACACTAAATATGTTATGTTACTGATTTTAATTTTGGTATTTATGCTCAAAGGAAATATATTCCTAAAATATTTATTCAATATATTAATTCAATATTATACAATATAAATTTTTGCCTTGATAAAAAAAAATTCCATGATAAATAAAAAACTATTTTTTACAAATGGGCGGCTTTTATAAAACACATAAACCTTTCTGTTCCATTGATTCCAACCATTTATTTGTGATACTTTTTTGGAGTTATTTAATATTTTTAAATTTAATCAGCATTTATTTATTTTTTTTTACCAATACCCCTGTAAAAGAGTATTTGGTAAATAACAACTACCAGTTTATCAAACAGTATCTGGTAAATAACAACTACCAGTCTATCAAACAATTTTTGTCTCTAATCGTGGAAGCAAAGAGTAAAAAAATTGATATTCTACTTTAAACCTTTTAAAAATAACAGAAACATTATAAGTCAAATAAACGTGTACAAAGTATTCAAAGATATTCAAAGATCATCATTGTTATGAATCTTTTTTAAGTAATGCTCTCCTGCTTATTTGCATTTTATTTTATTTTTAATGAAAGATTGTAATTTCGTACATATTTTAACGTAAACAAGGTAGTAGGTAGGCTTCGTAAGTTCAACTTTGGATCAGTAGAAACTCCGAATTATTAAGCATCTCATCTTTAGAATTTTGTTGCGAGCTGGTCAACTTGTAAAAATATTGTCTGGATTGGGATTTAAAGAAGACAATATTAGTAACTATTAGGAATTCGTAAAGTTAGGAAATTTAAACAATCTTCATTTAAACATGAATGAAGATTTCGGCGAAAATTGTATTCTAGCACTTAATTTTCTACTTATTTTCATTAGGTTTAAACAACAGTCATTTCGAGATTTCATTGAAGTTATATTATAAGTAGATCGGCTCAACAAAACTCTTGTGCTTATTTATATTACATTATACAAGAAAATATGGAAATTATTATTTATAACTAAGGAGTTTACAATGCTAAATCACTATGTTAAATTATGTTTAGTGTAGCAATGAGGATTATGAAATCAATTATTACGATACATTTTAAACAATGGACATTCTTACTTGCAAACTTGTTGACTATATTCAGATTACAATGTTAAGAAATCCTAAAAATATAAAATCTGTTAAAAAAAGTCACCCTAGGCAGAGTAAAGAAGAACTTAGGGAAGCAGTTTTCAACCCTCCCACGCCATCAAGGTTGTTGTTTACATTCTACTGCCCACACAACAACTTACACACCACAACATTGCTCCTCGGTGGGTTGACTGGCCCACTCTTGCACACTCCGATTTCCGCTCTGCTTTGAAATCCTCTTGTATGGAAATTAATGTGAATGATTCCAGATATTTGTAATATTTAATTTCAATGTATGTAAATACATTAATACTATTAAGTTTCTTGTTGTAACGATCTTGTATGGGAAACCAGAGATTTATAATATTGTGAGCTACTCATATATATGCCTGTTTACTACTTCTGAATTTCCTTAGTTAAATTATGTTAGTTAAATTGAATGTTTAGATTGAAAATATATTTTTAAACCCAATTTTTAAGCATTTTTATTTCACTTAATAAGGTTTAAGGCTATTTTTCGAATATTGTTTGAAAACAGCCATCAATACGATTTTGTTAAAGCTATTGAAATATAAAGTCAAGATTTTAAAAATGCAACGAAGTTTTCTAAATAACTTTCCTTAGTCCTATGATATTGGCCGAAACAGAGTGAACCCTGTGGGTATAGGCAAACTTGACCTAGTTTTGATAAAATGCGAAAAGTATTCAAGATTGGAAGATTTTTGTCAGCAATCTTTGTGTCTTAAATCCGTACTCGTCTCACACTACAGGCTAGCTACTTGTGTGCGTAAACGCATTTTCCTACCTACCATTCATTTTATAAGGTTCCACAATCATAACTGTATTCATGTTATAATTTTAAGGTATTACAAAGCATTCATTTGTACCTAAAGGATACTAACTGAGTATTTTTAGCATAAAATTCAAAAAATTTCATACCTCAAAGTGTTTGATAGTTTTATAATCCAGTTTTCATCCCATGACTACGAAACTTCATTACAGTTTTTATGCTTTCATGTATGAATTATATTTACAATAGGTCATTTAAATGTAAAACTCTGCCCTATATAGTATAGGCCTATGTGTCTTTAGGGTATAAGTTTGTTTGCTACTACATTAAGATTAATATATGGTCTGCGGAAACGCGATCATATATCTGAATTTGAAAAACTGCCGGTTTTTTGCCCTCAGCAGCCGTATACAGGATGCAAACCTGCACTCTGGTTCATCGGGTACTGGTCAAAAAAGAACCAGCTTACCTGATGGAAATACTGGTCTCTCGCGATCGGGTGTCTCAGTGCAATACTCGACAGGAAAAGCTGTTTCACTTCCCGAGAGTGAGGCTGGAGATTGGCAGGAGAGGCTTTTCATACTTTGGGCCCAAGTTGTATAATGACCTCCCCTGTGATCTTAAGTTGCTGGGTGTTCCAGCTTTTAGAAACAAGCTAAAAGAAATGTATAGAAAGGACCTCAAATTTTTTAAATAGATTATGCACTTTTTGTTATTAGTTTTATTTAGTATTAGTAATTAAATTGACAAGAGTTATCCTGTAAAGCAGTATGCACTGAGGAACGCTTGCTAAATAAAGGCATTTTTATTTATTTATTTACATCTGTGTAACCTTATTCCTTTTCCCAGGTCCAGCATTCTGGGGCCTGATCAACCCAGAATGGAGCTTGTGCAACAAAGGACGTCGACAATCTCCTGTTAACCTGGAACCCAACAAACTGTTATTCGACCCCAACCTTCGTCTGCTGCACCTCGATAAACATAGGGTATGAAATTTAACATACGAGCTTAATAAAATAAATTATCAGATATAGATTGTAAAGTGTTTTGCGCATTTTAAATGTTCCCCTACTGAAATCAATCTGAAAGTTAATCGTTCCATATAGGTTCCGAAACATGGTTAAATTCAATTGATTCAGAATGTTTTAGTAATAAAGGATTTGCACAGAAATATATAAGGAAAGTAAAAAAATCATAATTAACTATTCGTTAACATAGTACTAAGGAAACCTTACATGCAGATAAAACAGTGCTTAATTCAGTTTTGTAAAATAAAATGCTAAATACTTACCATACTCTTAACAACAATTTTGAAAGTAACCATCTCCGTATACTCTAGTTAACTTTTGCCCATTACAATGAACTTTTTGTAAAAACCCACATTTCTCGTACGTGAAATGGTTGTCAACGATAATCCGTTGGAATAATCAATAAAGTGCGAGCCGAAGAACGGAATCACTCTTACATTATACATATTATTTTATGTTTTATTTTATACACATACTAAGTAATCTATAGAAAAGGCAAATACTACTCACTCACCGACCCCTATATCTCAAAAACTAAAAACCAAAAAAACTTGAATTTTAATGGTGGTCTAATACTAATTTAATGCTATCCAAAGCTATATGTGTGCTCCATCAGGGCTCTGCCCCAGTGGCCTTCTAAGTTTCAATGTTATTCACATGGATAAAAGATTTGTTTGCATTTGAACAGATGAATGCTTATAAATTTACACTATTGATAATGGGACAACTAGTATATTTAAATTGTTGTGTAGGGGCTAAACTAGAAATTTTAAATTAAAACTTCGTGATCAACTCTTAGATCCTAGAATGTTGATCCTAGAGTACTGAAAGTTAAGCCAACCAACCTTTGCGGTATTATACATACGTGCGTATTCCTCTGTCTTACGCTTTACACCTAGAATTGTTATCCTGAGGTTTGGATGTATATTTTATACAATACTTCTCAAGTGTTTGGGGTATTTTCTATAATCTAGGAAATTAGAACAATTTAATAACAACTTTGAGCTAGATTTCCAGTGGTCTTCACAGTTTTATCTAGTGAAAAGTAGCTTTTTCATGACAAGTAGACTTTCTCCTCTTTTACGTTTAAGTATAGTGCTATTAAGTAAAAATGCCAGTCAATGTATCTTAACTCCATTATTAATACTCTGTTATATTTTTTATTATATTATTCTATGTATAGGTAAACGGTGTGATCACCAACACTGGACACAGCATCGTGTTTACTGTAGAGAATACTACAAGACATCATATCAACGTGACTGGAGGTCCTCTCAGCTACAAATACCAGTTCCATCAGATCCACATACACTACGGGTTACAGGATGAGACTGGATCCGAACATTCAATCAACGGATACACCTTCCCAGCTGAGGTAAGTTGATCTTTCCATCAAAGACAAGTATTTGATATTGCTTATATTACTTGATAATCCATTTTTTTAAGTTATCCAAATTTTCATTAGAGTAGGTTTGCCAGTTCCAAGTAAAAACACATTTCACCAGATAACATTATTTTACCTCTTACCTTATAAACATAAAATATATAGTTCGATTATCACGTCTCGACAGGAATCAAGACACAACTGACTTGCACTGTTAAGGCAAAACTTCGAATTATTGAGGCACATTCATGCGAACTTCGACTTATAAAGGTAAACTTCGAGTTACTGAGGCTCGATGGTGGGAAAATTCGAGTTATAGAGGTAGAATGTTACTGTTCAAAAGTTGTTAAAATTCGACTTATTGAGGAACTTCGACTTATAAAGGTACTTTTAACATAATGATTAATGTGGATTTCAAGGGGATTTTGAAAAAATCGAGATATTGAGGAATTCGAGATATTGAGGTTCGAGTAATTGAGGTTCTACTATTCATTCAATGGTAAATAAAACAAATTATGTTTCACTGTATGATCACAAAACAATTAGGGATGCTTAAACTAAGGTTTAGATAATTCTAATTTTGTTCTTGTGAATAGAAGTCCAAAATCTAAACAAAATTAATTAGTGTTTAGTTTTTTAAATGTTAAGATATGTATTATTTGTAGATGTCATTTGATTTTTTCAACTTTGGATACATACAATTGTAGCGTTTTTGCATTGTTATATTTATTGAATCATGTAAAACATTAGGGCAGTGTTTAGCTACGTATAGCAAAAGCTATAAATCACGAACGTTTGAAATGTGACACCAGACAGTTTGCCAAAGTGCACTCAGACTATAAGTATATCCGGCGAGACAATGCGGTGTATTGGGGACGATGCGGGTTATTGTTGAGGACAAAGGTGGGGTAAGTGGCTGGCAGGCTACCAACACTTCACCATCACACCATCTCACCACTACAATACTACACTTATACACTACTACACTAATACATGATAAATACACAATTACGTGATCTAGTACCTTCAACTGCACTGCTTCGCCACCACACTACAACTTAACTGCTCTACTACAGAAGCACTGCTTCGCCACCACACTACAACCTAACTGCTCTACTACAGAAATAAGTTATACCCTTACAAACACTATAGAATACGCTTTTACAGCACTAACAGATAGTATTTACCTCATACTACGCTGTTCTATCCTACTTTGGCTACACGACTACTTGTCTGTTGCTCTACACTACAAAACCATTGTACTCTAATTTCGCTAAATTAATACGTCTGTCACACTACTACTATTACACCATTGCACACCATATTCCGCTCCATAAACAAATACGTTTACTACACTACCTCATGAGCTAGTATCTAACACCTTGATATGTAACGGCTACACTAGTATTCTCCTACACTATTACCCTACACGTCCTCTATACAAACCTACCACCATACAGCCATAATCTAGAATTATTTGTAATTTGCTAGATGGTCATTTAGTTATTTATGAAAACCCCTTACAGCTGAAAGCCGATACATCCTTAAGAATTATCGAGACGTTTACCCACCATCGAATAAGTTCATAGAAGTGGTATTTTCCTTAACTTTGTTTCAGAAACATTTACTGCGTACTACCTACAATAATGAGAAGTGATGGCATAACAAACACTAAATATTCGTAAACCCTCCCACTCTAACCTATGGTGAAGGTGTTATTATATATCATATCCCCACGTGTATTATAATTACGTGATTTGTCGGTGACTAAAGACGTTTCCTCTGCCACTCGACCCTCGCCCCTACAGATCGATAGCTTCCCTCCCTTACCGTGTGCCCTGAGTGGCAATAAACTGATACCTCATGTTTGGCGGGAAATGAATTCAGTGCCACAATATTTTAGTCTTTTTTCCATTGATTAAAATCCATTTTTGTATGTAATTTTTCGTGGATAATAATCAGATTGGACGGAGAACGTGGACCTTTATCACACCAATAAAGTGTTTTAACTTTATCGTTTAAAGTGTGTTTTTGTGTACTTTATCGAGTTAGCCTAGTTATGTTTACAGAGTTAGATACATTTTATAGCTAAGCCAAACTTAATCGTACTGTTTCCAGGAGCCTATTAAATCTATTCCATTCATCGAACTTTCTTATTATTAAAACCTTTGATTCAAAACAATAATCAATGAGAAATGGAAACATTAAGCCATAATCATTGATTTGACAACAATCTAAATGTATTATTGATTACGTACTTGGTTAAAACATACAGACTTGTAAAACATAAAGCTCACATTTACCTTACATACCCACGTAAACAATAGCAAGGAATATATATTTGATCTATAACCATCCAAAGAATACTAACATACGCATACATTCATCAACCTGTTAATATAAAGTATATAAATTTAGCATCATAATTGGTTTTATAAAAGAACAACATTTTCTTTTAAAATAGTTATTAAGTTTTATTAGTTCAACTGCTCTATGGTAGCGTATTTGGCGCGAATGAGCAGTACCTCTCTGTTAGACGAGTTAGCGGCAACTGAACACTGTGTCGTCTGCAGTGTGACGTCACAAAGATCGGCGCATGCGTCAGCTGTTAATAAATTGGAAGTTCTTGCTTGGATGTAACCAAACTGTTTTTTTTTTTCTACAATAAATGTATGGAGAAAAGGGTTCTATACTTATATTTTTAATCGTTATGTTCTTCTTACAAATATGCAATTTTATTAAAAACGTTTTATTTTCTGTTATAATTTTTGTTAGTATGGTCGTGTTAAAAAAAGTTTTAAGAAACAATTTGGAATGAGTTAGTGTCAAAAAAGGTCAACAAAGTAGTAACTGGCAGTTACAAAGTTGGTCAGTTGACCAAAAGTAACTAATAGGTTTACAATTAAAATAGCAGATAGCTGCAGTTTCCCAATGTAATAAAGAGCTGTAGTTGTATAAAGCTCATTGATGTTTATAAATTAATACATAAAGGTAATTAAGTTTATTCCAGAAAATGTTATGTTTTAATTTTTGAGGTTTTGAGAATAATCTGGATTATAACTATTTGTAAACAGCACAGTAATTTTTTTCAGTGACGTAATTGTTTTTATATTCATATTAATTTTTTGAGTTACCGACACTGGTTACCTTTAAGCTTTTAATAACGTGTCTAATGAGTAGGTTGGTATTAAAATATAAGTTTAAGTATTATAGTTTACAAATGTAAACTGTTTTTGTTGAAACGAGATATTTATCATCTACTAACAGGTATTTAAAATATTCACTTTGCCAAAGTGTAGAAAGCTTATACGTACAATCAGTGCATTAAAATTATTGGCTATACAAAACAGACCTCGAACCACCGAACCCAACATTTTTTTACTTTAAATTACTCTTGGTTATCTACATATCCACTGGAACGGTTACAGGAAATACTAAAACAATTAAACCACTTTAGTTCCAAACGAACTGTGTTTGGCACCTGAGTGGGTCTCACTATAATGGGACCCTAAGCACTCTGCGTTGAACCAATGCCCACAATCCGTGCTGAGCTCTTTATTACGATCTTGGCGCGGCCCCAAAATATTGTTGTTAAGTGAAATGCGTTTGAGCCTCAGCCAGAACAAAGGGCTGCTCCTTAGCGAACCTTTATGGAGTTATAAAGGAAAACTGATGGAAATACACGCATTCGAGGGATTGTATACATCCATAATCCTCACACGAGTAAAGTTAAGATATAATTTAAAAATTCATATTCAAGCACATCAAATGTAAAAGCTCCTATAAGGGAATATGTATAGATATTATGCATGATTGCAAGTGTTATAGGTTGATAGCAAAGTGACACCCAACACAGATTTGATCCTGCAAAACGTCAGTAGCTTTTTCGTGGTTAAGTTTGGAGCAAATAATTAATGTTCATAACATGGCCAAGCTGACCTCGATATGAACGCTTTTAATATATCGAACTGGCTACAGAAACTGCTGATTATGCTAGTAACAAATATACACAAATAATCTCACAATATTCTACAACAATCTTGAATTTTTATGCACCTAAGTACACACCAATGGTGGTATATTTTTGGTGGTGACTGTATGTATATATTATGAAATGTACAATGCACATTTTAACAATTGATGTTTCAGATACAAATATTTGGATTCAATTCCCAACTATACTCGAACTTCAGTGAGGCACTTCACAGAGCTCAAGGAATCGTAGCGATCTCACTTTTAATGCAGGTACCAAAATACATACCGGTAACTAAACTCTAATGAAACTTTTAAAAGTAAAATGCTTTTAACTGGAAAATAAATTCGTGCTTGGTTAATAGTTTGGATAGAAAACAATTTACAGAATAAATAAACAATTGGTAAGTCAATGCAAATAAAATCACACAAACAATAGCCATGAAAAGTTGGAAGAACTGTGTTGAAAAAACACTGGTCAAATATTTATAGACTCTTATCTTTATAAGTATTATGGTTGTGCTACATGGAAGCGTTGATAGCACATACAGCAAATAATAAAACTTAATTTATGTATCCTAATTTGAAAAATAAAAACGTAACAATAAAAAAGCAGTACAATGAAGATATTGAAAGATAACCCAAAACATGGTTGTCCTAATATAATTTCATTGATGTAATGAATGGTTTCAATTGTTTCAGCTCGGTGATCTTTCTAACCCTGAACTAAGGATACTAACAGATCAGCTAGACAAGATCAGATATGGAGGTAAAGCTTTTGTTTTTATAGGAGAACATTTAATAGTAAAAGTGTTTATAAAACAGTCGTACATTACATATTTAACTGTTAAACTTAAAATGTAAATGCATTATTTATTTTTAGATTTAATAAAATGTATTTTCTTAGATTTAGACTAGTTTATAAATGAAATTATTATATACTCCATATAAAAGGCATTAAATAATATGCGTGAACTTAATAAAAAAAAACCAAACAATTCCTGAAATCACACACCTTCACCCCCCCCCCCCTAAACACCTTACTCCTTAAATCTTAATTTTAGTTTTAGATTTTTTATGTACCAAACTTTTCCCCCTTACTTAAAGAATTCGTAAATAGCTGCCACAGGTATATAGATACACAAGAAAATTTATATATTTGCTTTAAACACAGCCAATTTTTTTTATTCCTAGGCACTTCTGCCATTATCATGTAAAAAGATACTTTGGTGAGAAGAACTGTCACTATATGTAAATATATCCACGAATGCTCATACATCAACCATGTTCTCTGTCACAATGTTTAATAACGTCAATAATGCTAATGTTGGACAGTCAATAACGTTGGACAAGTTGGACGTTGGCAAGTTTAGGCATACATATTACACAGGCCTATATCTTTCTGATAACTAAACATTAACTAAGACATTTCTCACCACAACCAATCAATTGAATCTAAAAACTACTGTTTTAATAACGATCCTCAATTTCAAAATACCTAAAATATTGTTTTATTATGTAATCGAAGGTAGCTGTTGTTTAACTTCATTAGTTTTATGCCTTGAATCTTCACCTTAATAAACGAATCCCAGTGTCTCGGCATCGTATAAATCAAATGAATTGAGCTAATTTATTAATACATATGATTTATCGTTCGCAGCTCTTTGGGCTACGGAGACTCATGCAGGGAGATCCAATAATGGAATACAATTATGCCCGTTATTGATTCTCATCTCTTTATTGTATCAGGAGACGAAGTGGAAGTGAAGCGGTTGTCCATCATGGGTCTGCTCCCGGATACGGAATACTACATGACCTATGATGGGTCCACTACAATGCCTGCCTGTCATGAGACTGTCACCTGGGTCATACTGAACAAGCCCATCTACATCACCAAGCAGCAGGTTTGTAACAGAAGTTTATATGAATTATTAGCCAAAGTCTATTCTTTCGATATTTAAACTGGATGTCATATTGTAACAACATTTACAAATATTAATTAGGAGTAGTTTTAATTTAAAGGATTTTCCGTAAAATAATGTCTCCATCAAGCTCCATTCAGAGCCGAGCAAGCTAGTTCAAATCCAAGACCAACATTACATTTCTTAATTCATCCACTACTATTCTGGACTGCCCCCCCCCCCCCCCAATGGGACGGTTAGTCTTATCATATGAACGAAAACGACGTGAACAATTTACGCTCTATTCATAAATAAATCTCATTCTGTGATTGGATTTTTGGGATTTCAGTCACCAACCACTTTTGAAGTCAAGTGTCAGTTTGGTTGTAAGAAGACCCACGAGTTTGGTCATAGAAAATGTGCAAAACTGGTTGAGAAAGTTCGGTGGTGTCCTTAAACATTTGTACGGTGTTTTTCATGGTATTGAAAACAGGATTTCTTCATCAGTTTTGTTTATATCGGTTTATGTAAAGGAAATTTTGTATGCGGATTGCGGTCTGACTAAATGAGATTGTCGCACTGATAGGGGATGCCTTTCTTTACAAGATTATCAAGGGCTATAGTCTACTCTGACAGTCTTAAGCAAGTTAATCAGCAAGAAACCTTTTTATCCTAACTGTCTATTTTGATGGAAACTGATAAACACCCGGCCCGTTGTGTGAATGTTTGTGGCATTTTATGAACTCCTTTAGCATTAAACGCACATTTTGAAAAACTTCTCTGCACATGCATTTGTTAACTGGAAACAGGAATCAAATAACAGTAACAGTTTTAAGAAACCACGATTCAGACTTGGTAGGAACAGCTTTCTTTCTTTCTTTACATGTGCAAATACTATTGCGAGACAAATTTTTCCATAGGAACGGAGTCTGGGTGGAATAATATGTATGAAGTAAAGAACACTATTTTTCTCAGATTTGTACTGACACACAGCTTGATTATGGATAGCCCTTGTAGTTACGAGTATATGTTTGCTTTCCATCCTCAATCATACTACATAGTCTCTAACAGTGTGATAGCTATTATTTAGATTAACTAAATCACTTTGGTATTTCGTTTTATTTTTAATCCAAACAGTAATTTTATAAATTGAATTTGGTTAGCTAAAACACAATGGGCAAATATATTTACCATCCGTCTGTGATGTTTGTCCATTGCAATAACAAAACTTAAGTGTAAACCTACTTATTACTCCATAACAGATATTCATGATAAACAAGTAATTTGTTATAAGCTTCCCTGCTACTCTAGATAAATCTACAACATTAAAGTTGTGTAATTTTATTTATTTTCACAGTGGCAAGAACTAGAAAGTTGAATTATTTGTTACCCTGTTTGAAAGTCTTTGTTCTTGCAGGATTTTATAAGTTTGCTCCAAAATAATTATATATTGGAGGAAACTTCTAAAACCCTACAAGAACAAAGGATATCAAACTAGGTAACGAATAATTTAATTAAGGTTATGTTTGTTTGTCACACCAGTAGTATTAACAAGTATATTAATGTTATACTAGTATATTTAAAACAATTTCCTTCGTAAAGTATGAAACGCGAATAAAATATACATGTGATTTATCTTTCGCAGCTCTTTGGGCTACGGAGACTCATGCAGGGAGATGGAAAGTATCCAAAAGCGCCTCTGGGTAACAACTACCGACCACCGCAGCCATTACACCACCGTCCCCTGAGGACCAACATCGACTTTAACGTGAAACAGGTGAATCAGGTTGGAGCAAATGTTATTTATTGAGATGATGAAAATTTAAATTACAAGTAAATTCAAGCTAATATAATACACTATTTACGTAAACACTAGTTCAGGAAATATGTTTTAGTTTTGATATAAATGCAGATTAATTCGATGCCACATTTCACTATTAGTAACTGGTAATAAATGTGTGTGTGGAATACAAATTTTAATGACAAAACAAATTGTAGTCCAAAGAGCTATTATCCTTCAGAACATTCTGATAAATGTTTAATAGTTTATCGACCTGTCTATCATGGAGTACCGATTGTGTATTGTTTTTATTTCTTAAATACGTACAATATTTGTTTCAGAAAATCATATTTCCTTTATAGAATTATTTCTTTAGTAACGAAATTGTATAATGATCTAAATATCATTTTAATTTGGCATCGTAGGGTAGGCAATAAGCCATACAATTTTATTTCAGATTAAACTATCTATGTAAAAAGGGTGAGGTCATTAATACAATTATTGTATTGTTGTAGACTGGAGCCAAATACTGTCCAAGCATGTACAAGGAGGTGTATTACAAAGGTGAGGACAATATTATAAATTAGTAGTATTAATAATAGGCTACTTATAACCAAACTAGAACGTATAATAGAGTATTGAATAGTTAACAAGAATTCGTTTTCAACACCAATTAAACATTCAAAAATATATATGTAGCTATTTAATTAGCCAGCTTAATCACCTGCCAAATTGGCCTTGGTAGCCTATTTTGTGGGTAAAAATTTCATAGATCTTTTAATCCTAACATTTAAAAAAATCCAAAACGTTTGATAACTTAGCGTCGGGCTATTTTTGGTTGGGTTAGTTAGTTGTGTTCTATTACGTCTGGGTATAATAGTTATGCTATATTACTCTTGGTTTCAGGAACAGCTACACATTTTCAACGTATTATAGCTTATAACAGTTAACTGTGTTTTCCAGCAAACAGTTGGAAGCCTCACTGAGGTTTAATGCAAGGTCTGGGTGACGAAGAGTTCATGAGCTTCGAGAGATGGGGCAAACCAGCAAACGTTACCTAAACCACCCTCGATGTATTACGATAATCCAAAACGCTTCTTAGCTAAGTGAATCGACGATGTTAGAGTATACGTGTTTAAAAATAGAATAAATTCCCTGAATATCTTAAACTTTCCAGGAGTTCTGAAAAAAATATGGTTTTACTGTTGGTTAAAATATTCTACATTTTAACATGGTTTGGTTCTAAAAACGCATACATTTTCACTGTAATGAAAGAATGCTTATGAATTTTAAAGTATTTCTAAATCGTTATGAGTAGTGGATACATAGGGCTGCTGGGGAGTGACGTCACAAGAGCCATGTGGTGCTTAATTGACGGTTAAGCATCTGGTGGTAATGGTGCGTGACCTAGCACGTGGTGTGGTGGGTTACGGTATGGTGACGTCATGATGACGACATGCTGAGGTGTGAAAGTTAGGTGGATCGATATTTTCAAGGTTATTGTTGTGGTTTAAAAAAAACAGCATATCGGTAAAGGGATAAGTACCGATATGCTGATTTTTAAATTCTTTATTGAAAAATCAAAATTGACATACGAGGAATATAATTGTTTTCAAACTTAAACCTAATACAGATCTAAGCTAAACTAAACATTTGGATCATAGAGTTAGGTCTACTACAGTAACAACAGTTGTCAAATTGTCATCCACACATGTCGCAAGCGAAACAGTGTTTGCATTGGTAAGAAGAGTAAATTACGATTTTTTTGTCCATGCATATTATACACTCAAAGTTTGCTTCTTTTATTGGAAACATAGTAGGAATTTTGTTAAATTTGAGAAATTAGCTATATATACGACATAAAACTGTTGGAGATAACTATTTGTACATGTTACCTTTGCAATGTTTGCGATATAATTTGTTGTTAATGAGATGTTGTCTTTAGCTAGTTCCACTACAGACTAATGAGAGACCCATCATACACATTCTTTTATGCTGTTTATGATTGCTATCTGGTATACAGCAAACATTCGCAATTGAAATATTTCCACTTTTGTCTTTGCATTTTATAAGATCGTCAAGTGAAAAGTTTGTTATTATGTACATATTACGAAAAGTGTTTGGATTTTGGTTTGCAATGTTTCTGTGAGAAAACTTATTAAAAACCACTATTTTATTATGTCACCATTATAAACATAAATTCAGAACTAAACTAAAATATCACTTTAATCCTGCAAGGTGTATCAGCTATTTAACTGGTATGGAAAAGTAATGTACACAGTGTTTCTACTTCTTCGTGAACAGTTGGCGGTACATGCGGGCAGAGCATTGTTCCACTAATTACAACCATGTGCCACATTTGCAACATAGTACCTTATATTTCTAAGACTTGTTTATTCATCCAAATCGTTATGTTTTTGAATGATTTTTAAAATAACAAACATTTGGTATATTGTACATTGCTTAATGTTAGACGTACAAACGATCAAGCTATATAAAAACAAATTTCCCACTCTTTACCCTATAATTTACTATTTATTTAAAGCAAATGTTAACTCTCATTACTCTTGGTTGTATTGTAATCCAACGTATTTCTGTTTATCGTTTGTCCTTTTGTGAAACTGTTTGAATGTTTTTTTATTGCTAGTTGTAGTACAGAAAACTATTCAATTTAACTAATTTCACTGTTAAATATGTTCAAATGTTAGGTAAGGCTTCTTTCACCGTCTTCTAGTCTTTCTAATATATCCATCACTTCATTGCTGAACATGAATCTTTTTACACTGTATGATATTATATAAGCATCGGTTTATGACCTAGCACGTGACCTAGGACATGGTGTAGTGGGTTATGTCATGGTGGCGTGTCAGAGCTAGGGTGGATCGATATTTTCAAGGTCGTTGTTTGGGTTTAAAAAAAATCAGCATATCGGTAGTGGGATGAATACCGATATGCTGATTTTTGTTAATTCTTTATTGAAAATTTAAAATACACACAATTGTAATTTGTAAACCCTTCACACCAATCGATACAATGGAAGTATCTCGTAATTTATTTATTGGTTCTTTCGTTTTGCTGTTGAGATTATTAAATGCGAATGGAGGTTCAAATAGAAATGGAAAGACAATTCCTGTATTTAAATCTAGGAATACTAGTTCCTTTATGATATATTCATTTTTGTTTCCTCGAAAAGCTTGAAATTCTACTACACAAGGTTTTTCTTGAATCTCTTCAACTCTGTCAGCGAAGGAAATCTTCCTCTCCATATCGTTTTAAGATAACAACTGGTTTCCACACCACGGTAGATCCCTTTTTTATAGATCAGGCCGTACAGTTGTCAGCGCGTTGGTGTATATTTAACGTGGGCACCTTCCCCCAGTAGGCCTACCCCACGTGATGTTCACATATTTGCTGTCCTGTTTACATCAGCCATCAGCTACAACTTATCTGTTGTTTCTTTTTTATTCCTTCTATTTTTCTCCGTCTTGTAAATTCATTACACCTTGAACATCACTCGTCTGTTCTGCTTCTGTTGAAATTGTTTCGTGGTTTTCCTTTGTCACTTGTTCCTCCGTTACACTGACAGAACTAGAACCATCTATCTTTTCTTCGTCAATGTTTTCCTTCTGTTCCAATGCGTTAACTTGTCTCCACATTTCCACCTCCTCAGGTATCCGGTTGAAAATCGATGTATCTACAGGTCCATGCAATATCTGAACGTCTGGTTGTTTTTCCATCGTTTCTACTAAGTAATCTTTTACGACAGGGGAAGAAAAAACTAGCTGCCTCATGTATCTAGTTATCGATGATGTAGCACAACTCAATAAATAAAATTCAGAATTGGTAAGTAAAATTTTTTCATCATGTTTGGTTAGCTCTCTAAATCTAACTTGCTGCTCGCCTCGTTGTTTAACAACATCTATCTCTATGTCGCAGTCTGAGAGCCTGATTGCAGTTTTTCTTCCAAACAGATTATTCTCCAAATAACATTCTATCAAATGCAAATGTCTAATAAACGATTCCCAAGCATTTTCTGAAAACAACAAAGTTTTATTTCCATGATTTAATAGGACAGTAGGAGAATAATCCAACGGTTTGTACATACCGATGGATATAATTTTTGTCATACATCTTGAAACTGGATATGATATACGAAGAAATACTTCTATCAACTTGTGTAGTGGCATTTCCTCTTCTTGTTTCCTCTTCCTTTTTCCGATTACCTTAGTTACGATGTTGGTGTTTTCATCATTTTCTGTACGTGATTCTTCTTCGTTAAAAGATAAAAATTCAGATACTGCTTCTTTACATTGGTTTTTGTTTTCTTTATCTTTTAATAACATTGCTGTTGTTGTTTCCGTTGCACACTGCGATGATCCCATCTGGGAAAGCGATGTTTCCTAGACTGAGAGTATGGATAAACTGAAGTTGTCCGTTTACTCTGAGTTCTATTTATACCCTCCCACAACGAGTGTTTACATCTACAACACTACTTTTACAATTCCTGTCAGAGGGGTGTATGTTACAATCTTATCATGCAGAATCAAACAATAAGCGGATGTTCCTTCGGGTATATTTTCATCAAATTCCAATTCCAACTTTATATCCACGCTTGAAGATTTTACAGATTCATTTTGTTTAGAACAATCTATAACCACAATTGGAGCTTTCGAGGCGAATTGTTCCGGTGATATTAGAGGAGTGTTTATTTTTCCATAATATGATGTTTGAAATCGAGCATACATATCATAAAGTACGCTGTATCTTTTCATACCAAACGAAATATTCAAATTATCGTAAGGGAAAAACTGGGAGTTTAAAAATAATTTGCAATTTGTTAGTTTACAATGATCAAATGTGGCGGCGTTTCCAGTTATCACGTTTCTTTTTTTAGTCTGCAACCCGAATATTACGTACCTTGGTTTTTCTAAATGAGTTGAAGTCTTTACAGTCCAGGTGTGTCGATTTGTAACAGGAAACTCTGGATATTCATGTAGTTCCCAGCTTCTAAATGGTATGATTATGTCTCGATCAGATTTCAATTGTTTTAACAATGTTATTCTATGTTGATCGGCCAACCTTAAATGCGGTACTCTCCAAACAATCTTGTTTAAAGTCAACCGCCAATCTAAATTTGCTTCAGTCGTTCCGGCAGCAGCTTTAATGACATCTTTGTCAGTTGAAGATCGTAACAACACCAATTCTTGTTTTACATTGATTATGATTCTTCTATAATCTTCGGCGAATCCTAAAAACATTTTTAAAGGTATGTAAAAGTCAAAATTTCCCTTTGAGTCAGGCGTTATCGTATCACTTTCGGGTGCGACCCATCCAGCAGTTAGTAGAATATTCTTCTCGTTTGGAGTAAAAGACACTAACCCCTTCATTGTAGTAGCGATTCCCAGTTTTTTTGTAGAGTCCACTGTAACACCTGAAATTTCATATCTTATTTCCTCAAAGAGAAATGCTATTGCATTATTGATAAAAGGTACTGTCGTTCCTTCGGATCCATCCTTTTTTGTAACCTTTCCTTCTATATACAAATAGCTTTCGTTCGGCAGCGTGTAAACATCTTGCTGTTGTATAGGAATCCGAATTTCATCATTATTATTTAATTTCGATGAAGCGTAAGGGTTGTGAGTGTGATATTCCTTTTCCCATAAGGTCTCGTCGAATGTCGGACCGTGAGTTATATCCAGTATGTCCATGGTTGACAACTTTAAATCCAAGCTTCTGCAGAAAGCGTAGGTTATCACTTGTTAACTCTTCTACTGCTCTTGAACTACTGATGTGTTCCTGGCGATGCGGATTCTTTTTAAAAGACAACCCCATTTTTAAGATGTAGATCTTATGTGTAACCTTACAGTTATAGGTTCCCCTCTAAAGTCTACGATATTTCCGTCTTGATCCAATATGTTCAGAACGATGTCTGATATATAACTGGTGTTTAACGGTAGGTACACCAGATTATTAGGCCTTTCAATTAACTTGAACTCTGGAGGAACAGACGGGTAGAACGTATGTAATATATGACTATTTTCTCCGTTTCTGTATGATCCCTGTATAATATTACAAGTAATATCTATTGTGGTCACTTTTAAGATATTTACAGTT